TAAATTAACATGTAATGTTAATCTAGGAAAATTTGATTCAGATTCGATTCGATTCGACCATGCAAATGCTTGATTCGCACACCTCTAGTTTATATTTATTAGCGCGTTTTCAAAGTCGATCTCTTTACGACACTGAGAGGAGTGACACTGAGCCACCAAAAACAGAATCCACGATCTACCCGCGCATTTTTGTCGAGCAACGCGATGATAAGACGCTTATCAGTGAATTTCGCAGTTTCGCAAGCTGCGCGTCACGGGACTAACACTCGAACATGAAATATAGTTCGCGAATCTGAAATATAATAGTTCCGCAAAATCAGTCATCGGTTTCATAAATATTGTATCAGCGAACGACGGGATCGGCCCACATGGATTTGTTTAGCACATCTATCGTCTCTTTAATCTTCTTCAATAGATCTAAATCCTCAATCTTTAACGATTCAAACTAATTAATAGCATGGTTTGTGTTTTAAGTCTATTTTATCGATTACAAATGATACAAATTACATATCTATTACATCGAGAACATCTGGCATATAAAAATAAATAAAAGTGGCCACAAGATGTATGAGAAAGGATGGCGAAAGAAAAGAAGAGCTAAAGAGCAGATAAGAAGGTCAGAGGAGAAATCCACGGAGGATACGCGAGGGAGGCTGTACTTTTGCCCTTACAGAGAAATGCTTTTGACTTCGTAGAAAATGCGTTCTCAAAAGCTGACATATATACAATTTGGACAAACATACACTAAATTTTGTTTATCTAATCTCGGTGCGATCTCGAGAATCTATTATAGAGTTTGTCTTCGGATATTGCCTTGATTTGGATCTTAATTTGCATTACGAACCGATCGTTGTACTAATCGATGTATGGAATTATTAATGATTACTTGTACACGAAGATTCGTTGCACGTAAACGAAAAACACACAATTTCAATTAACATTCTTGCCCATGCCAGTTAATAGAATGTTAATATTTAATTTAAAAAAGGATGCAAAGGCCAAAATTAATTAGATCACACTGCTGGTGTAAACGTTATGGTTGCACAAGCCGCATGAATGAAATTCATACTGCAGAAATTCGATCATTAAATTCCGTTGGTGGTTCTGCCTGGTATATTCTGCACATTGAGAGGACCGCATATACATAAGATAATCAGTAGCTTCGTATAAAGTATAAAGGGAACATGCGCGCGTGTGCTTTCGCAGTAAAAAAAAAAGTAAGCAAGTTTCAGTATCTATATATTTCTGACGTGCACAGCTTATAGTATTCTGAAAATTATGTGTAACCGTAAAAAGTTCCTTTAAAGTATGTAATTTCCATTTAATACGTTTCAACTGGAACTTCCTTCAAGAATTGATGAGCTCGCTTAATACTGAAAATGGATCTAACATCATTCTCTAACGTGAAAGAAAATTTAATATCTCAAATGCGTTTCGGGACGGGGCTAGCTATATAGTGCGAAAAATAATGAAAAACGTTGGACGCCTTCAGGTATATCATTAGTTTTGCGTAAAAATAGCGCGATCTATCGAGGCGAATGCATCGTTGACGTTTCGCGCATATAATTCCCCGAATCGTGATCGATCACGCTCGCATCTGGTTCAGTGGCGCGTCGACGACGATCGATCGGCGTGGAACGTCGATTTTCACGAGGCTGCTTGAGAAGGCAAGCAGCCCGCCCTGTGGCTTCTGGTCGCGTTTACCTAATCCGACCGGCGGAGGGAAAGACCGGCGTGATAAAGCCACCCGTCGAGGGACAGAGAGAGAAAGAGAGACAGAGAGAGAGAGAGAGAAGAGAATACAGTCGCGCCGGTTCGCCATTGGTTAGCACCGAAATGTCGGCTGACAGGTTTCGTGCGGTTACGTAAACTTAGCGATGTAGATAGCCGAACTAGAATGGGGACGCTCCTGTCGGCGCGACTCGTCCGCGTCCGTCCGTCGAAATGCACTTGCGTGCAAGTACTGCCCGACGCAAAAACATGCGGTCCTCTACTCCTTTCCCGTCCCTCTCTTTCTCGCCGAACCGTTTTCCTTCGCGTACGCACGGTCACGCGCGCGCGCGCACAAACATACATACACGTGCGCGTGACGCGCACATGAGGAGCGTACAACGCCGGCTCCTCGCGTATTGCATCGCGAACCGTGTGTCACACACACAGGCATACAACACACCTATATATACACACATGCACACGCACGCACGCGCGCGCGGGTATACGGCTACTCACGTCACGATGACGGCGACGCGACACGACGCGGCAGCGACGACGAGAAGCGCGTGTCTCGGTGTGCGTAACGTCTCGAGAATCGCGGAATGGAAAATACAAGAGCGATGCGGTTTCGCATCGCGTCGCCTCGCGAGAGCCGAGCGAGATTGGATATGCGGCGGCTGCATTTGGAATTAGTCACGACGAAGTTCGTCAAGTCGCTTATGGTCGACTTCGCGGTCGATAGACAATGCCTTTACCGAGCCGGGAAATCGCTCGCCACACCGCGGATGTTTTCGCGATTTCCAAACTTGGCCGTCTTACGAAGAACAATGAAAAGTTCGAAATCTTTCATTTCATATACTTATTTTCCGTTCAATTAATTTTAGTTTATCGCGCTACGATTCTCTTCATGATAGAACGTGTATCTTGAGATCCTGTCAACTGTTCTAATTATCATTCTGGTAACGTATATGTAATATCGCTATTATCCTTGTACAGTAATATACCGAGATCATATTCAGATAAGGATATTGGAAATGTTCTCATTTGAACATTCTCGAAAAAAGGAAAACATAGAGAATACTGGCATTCTTTTTATTAGTTTCTGAAGAATAGTTTACCGTGACCTCAGTAAGGTTAATGATTGAGCGATCATAGTCGTTATATGTACGTACAAAGAGTAAAACACTGCGCTGGAATAATGATACGGATATATTTCAGAATTACAGAATCAGGGAATGTAAAATAAATCTGGATTTAATGAAACGGTTTTCAAATCGTTATTTCCCCGATATTTTCACAACGCGTCATGCAGGTGCGCGGAAATACTTGTGAAAAAGAGGACGATTTGCGAAAATGATAACGCAAACTCGATTGGTGAATCGCATCGGCGAAGCACTGTTTGATTTAAGATCAATGATTATACCAATTATATAAATTCGTTGCGATTGACTTTATTGAAAAGCGCAACGAAAAAATTCTTTTCGTATCAAAATGGCTTTGTATAATTTTCTCTTTTATAAATCATGATAAATATTAATATCATGCATTTTTTTAATTTATCACAAATTTAACGCTTTGTATTTTTATGTAATTTTTTACTTTTACTTTTATTACTAATGTTTTGTCATTTTATTGAGTTTTTACTATCCAATGTATTGTTACATACTGATAGAGTATGATTTAATTCTAAGAGTTCGACGTACCGACAGTAATTAAAGCATTCGTGTTATTCGCAATACTCCAGTCTGCACAATAGTCAAATTTGCGTTGTGGCTACTGTGCCCGCAACGGTTAGCCGCTATTAAATAACATCTACATCACAACCACGAATTCTCTGCATCGAGAAAGTATTTAGAAATCGCTTTAATTACCCTCAACTTCTACTTCTGCACTTGCCGTTTAAAATGCCGTCTTCAAAATTTTTCGATTTAGCATCGTATCTAATTCAAGAGCATCAACAACGGCAATTTTGCTACTTCACGCGGCCGTGGCAATTGACGATTGCAAAAACTTGGTTTGAAGTCATTTTTTTCTCGTTGTGTATTTTTTGTTCACTGCAGTACCATCCATCGTGACGATTGTTCGTCGTGATTTTTAACAGTGTCCAGCAATCTGGCCGCGCCATGCACGTAGCCTGCACGCGCGCATGAAACACCATTGAGTAAATTACCATAGTTTCCGTCAGGACCAATTTAGAAGACCGCTTTAGCCTTTTCTTCGTTTCCATCTCGGCGACGACCGCGGAATACAGCCTGCTTTACATAAACGCTTATTGTCGATTTAGACCGGCGCAAGAACACGTCCGAAGTTTCGAGCGACGGGCTCGCGATACGCGCAGAAAAAGTAATGGATACCGCAAGATTTTGTAGGAATCTCTCAAAGAAGCGCTGAGCATTCGAAAGCAAGGCTGCCTCACATCAAGAGATTAATTTCGAAAATGCATCGCGTGTCTCTATCCGCGTTTCTAAAGAATCGGTAAAAGAAAAACTTCTTTCATCTACTTCGGAATTGCTTTACCTATCTCGGATCTTTAAGCGGAAATGTTGAACGTGCATGCTCTGCCGGAAAATTGTGACAATAAAAGAACATTAAAAAAATAGTAAAATAAACGAAATAAAAATGATAAAAATAGGCATTTGCTCACAAACTTTTGTATCTAAAAAAAAAAAACTTGAAAAAAGGAATTTATGGCTAAAATCATCCAATTTTTGCCGCGCACGAAATGGAGAAGTCAATTACCGTACGGCCGGAGAGAGATAAGCAAGTCAAATTTTCAGAGGCAATTTGGCGCTATCCGCTAGTCGTGTATAACCGACGAATTACGAAGGCATTACGGGCAGTTGCGAAACCAATTCTACGCAAAACGTGCCGGCGACGGAGGTCGCGCGTGGATATACGCGTGTCGCAATAATGTCGGATACCCGGCGCGATGCTCGCCCGCGTACGATCGCGCGACAATGAAAGCGAATCAAACGGGCGAGAAGTAGCGAAATTGGTGGAGCACCCGAGTGTTGCCCACAGTGCCGCTTTTCAGACCGCCGAATGCTTACGTCATCGATGTGATAAGATCTTAATAACAGGCACCGGCAAAATCGTGTGTGCGTGTGGGACAAGAAACATTATAGCGGTCACGAGGAGAGAAATATGCAGAAAATTGTCCGCGGGCGCAGCCGGCATGCGCGAAAAGTATACTTTGAAATTCGCACTGCGTATTTTTTTTATCGGCGCCCTCGATCATTCCGTTACTAATTACTTTTAATTTTACGGCTGATTCATGCACACACTCATTTCCGACCTAAATATATATTTTTTGTTATATCGTACATGTGTTGGCACGGTCGTAAAATTTTAATTATCGTATGACAAATATTTCCTCATACTCTAATGTGTTTGAAGACAATAGATTTTTCGGACGACGGAATTTTTAAGTATTAACCTCTGTAAGAAGAATTTCTTTTCCTTTTTCTCTTTCTTTTTTTTCTTTTATTAATTCTTTTATTAACGCAAAATAAAAATTTTATTTCTCGTCGAGCAATTTCTAAATATCCCATAACCACATTTAAAATATTTATTTTCTTCTCCACAAGACCGTTTTTAGAATATAGTTTGTTTTAATACGTAAGATCGACATAAATATTCAGTTTGATGACAAATGTTTTAAATAATGCGCAAACTAACCGCTTCGACAATTCCATGGAAGCTCTATATCTAATCTGGTTACGCAAATTCCAAGTGAAATATGTGTAAGTATGTATGTAGAATGTATTTATGCACAGATATTAGTGACATGCAGGAAAAGTAGCCGAAACGTAGTTACATAGACTAAAAGAAAATCACATTTCTTGAAAATTGACCGTGCTTTACATGTACTTATAGTCACTGCTTCGCGAAAGTGTTTCGAAATATATTAGTTAACAAACAATGACGAGGTAGTAATAAGTACAAAAACAATTTTCCCATGTTTAGCTCAGAACTGCGTTTCTAAAGCTGATTTAATATGTTTATTTTGTAACCGAAGTCACAAAAACAACGAGGTTTTGCAGCGCATAATCAGACTTTTTGTCGGTGCGATATAAGAGATTGTCGCGAAAAGAAATCAGAGGAGTCATCGGTCAATCGCGCGAACTACTAAATCTACATCGTAATGTCAGGCAAACGCGGATGCCACAGCCTCGGGGGCACGGGTAGTATACCACGAGCGCTTATTGGCCTGATTTTCGCCATTATCAATATTAATAGAGTCTTGGTCCATTAGCTGTTCTAGAGAGCGGCTCCGAGAACGATCTACGATGTCGCCGCAGATCGATTCCGCTTCGACCTTTTTTCCTCACGGTCGCCCGCGGGGAAATCTCGCTTCTGTACGTGTCTGTGAACGGGTTTTATTTTAAACGGAGCCTAAAAGTGCGCCTATAATAAGTCCGCAAAGCGGGCTATAACGCGTAAGTGAATTTTAGGAAGTTTCTAAAAAGCGCTTTTGATTATGACAGCATTTCAGTGAACGTTAATCGCGTATATTACCATATTATCAATTTTGAATTCATTAGAAAATTTATGATTTCTATATAAGAGTATGAACTCTTACATGTGCATAGATATAGCATAAATATGTTAATTCCATATATTATTATATATAAATAAGAGAACGAAACTAAAAATTAAAAAAATGCGTATACATACATATTCGGAAATGCTCCTTTCAAGAGAAAATATATTTAGGGGACAATGCCTCTCAAAAACATCGCGTTGTAATCGTTTGCATGCGCGCAGAAATAGCGATTGACACTAACGCGAATTTAATGTCAATATCGTGCAATAATCGTAATGCAATTGTGTCGTTACGCCCGCTTCGTAATTCACTCGATAGGCCGAATGTAAATTCCATCGATGGTTTGGATTACCGCGCGGGATACGCGTCGGGCTTGGTCAGCCCCGGTAGGTTTCGCGGTGAAAGGGCGACGTATTGTACCGTGCACGCGCGCGGGAGTAACGAGTCATTCGCGGCGCGGTCGTTCGCGCGAGGCACACAGAGACGCATCGAATTCTGTCACGTAAACCGGCCGGTCGCGCTTTTTATCGGTGGTCCATTTCTCGCGAAGCGAAGCGCCACGCCGCGCGCCGTCGCGTCGCTGATCCAATCGAGCCGCTCCTCGCGGAATGCGCGCAAGGTGCGCGAATCGCGATTTTTGCACCTCCTTCCTTTTCCGGCCGCGTCCGTCGGCCACGCGAATGAAAGCAACTAGAAGACGAAAACGAAAACGAGAAAGAAAAAGAGATAGAGGCAAAGAGAAAGAGAGAGAGAGAGGGAAATGCAATCTGAAGATGCGTGTCCTGCCGCATCTAATGGCGCGCCTATCTTCTATTCCTATACCGGTCCATCGCGGTCCTTTTTTTCCCGTCATTAGACATAATATCCTTCCTTGAAAACGCCGCTTTTTGCAGCGCGCGATTATTACACGGCTTTCTTTGGGTCTCCGTCGACCTCGACCGCGGCTCGAGTAACGTATCTGGTACTAGGCATGGCGAATCTTTATTCAGTCCGATATAATGACCGCGCTTCTGTCCCTCTTCATCTTCGCGCTCGGGATCAAGATCGACATCCGTTCGATAGCGGTTCTTGTATACTCCGCAGGCTTGTTACATTCTGTCCCTTTCTGAGCCCGATTATTGTACCCCACGATTACGCTGTCGAGCATTGTGCGCAACCGAGTATTAAAGGGATATTTGATTAACTTGTTAATCACGTTTGAATTGTACTTGGTGTTCCGATCGTTTTTTTTTTGCTGAAGAAGTAATATTATATTAAATAATAGTAATTATTATTTATATTAGATATATTCGTATTAGATATTTAATTAAAAGTCTTAAAAAATAAAATTGCCAAGACAGTTTATAATTAATTTATATTTTCTCAAGAATTTAGTAAAACCTTTCTAATTTTCTTCTTCTCTTTATTGAAATGCTCGCAAACTATAATATGTCGCGTCATCAGCATATAGAAGAGGTTGAAAATATTCCCAAGAAGACTTGCACTCGAGGACACGACGTACGTACAGGCATGTTTGGTTACGTAAGCCTAAATCTATCGGTCAATTTGCTAATATCGACCTGACCGCTATTCCGTATCGCCTAATTGTACGACGTATCACTCACTGTGCAATATGCGACTCCACGACAGCTCTCGCCCTCGTATTTCGCGAATAAAATTACGCGACGATCCGTAACAGAGAAGATGTCAAATAACCGTCGGACTTATCGCGCGTTACCGTAGACGTATGATATTTCATCGGTCCGGTATTTAATCGATCGCCTTGACGCAAGCGATGGATCGATATCGCGCGGTGGCAATAACACATATGAAATAACTTAACGCTAGACAACCTATCTCGTGAAAAACAAGGAAGAGCGAAGAGATTCGAAAATGAGAACGAAAACGGGATATCGCTATATTCTTTTAATATATCGATTGAAGGATTTCGGTCGAGAAATTCTTAGGTCGCTCAGGTGTAAGTCGTCAATATTTTATAATTAACCAAGACGGAAATCTGCCTCGGCTGAGCAATATTGGCCGAGATTGGATCTCGTTAGGTCTCTTAAGAAGCATCGATATTATGCCACGCGATTGACTTAGATGGACGTTGACTTGAGATTTCCTACAAGTCATTTAAACAATCGTTATATACTTTGCGAGCCGCCTGCTTTCACGACAGGAAACTGTCAATGTAAGGTAACGTCCGTTGTGCAACTTACACGAGGATGCTTATATTTTGAGAGCGACACACAAATCAGTTTTTCAAACATAGCGAATTCGAGTGAAAGGCAAAGTGCCGTCTTCTCTTTTGAAAATGCAAAGTGACGTACATTACATACAACTTGCATGAGCTTGTCTCGGAAGCGATACAGATCAGATTTTTCTTAACAAGGTGAATTTAAGTGCAGTACAAAGTATTCGCATCGCATCTCTTACAATGAGTTTTAAAACACGATTCTCATGCATTAATTTATCAGGATAAAGACTTTACAAAATGCAAAATTACATTAAACTAGAAATCGAAAAAATATAAAGACAAAGATTAAACAACATGTAATATTGCTAAAATAAATTTGCGAAGCACGAAGTCTATTTTTTTTTTTTAACATAAAAGCGAGAAAAGCCTATTGGAGCAATAGCTTTTTTTTCCTGCCGCCAGTTTGGTTAAAAACATTTCAGGGCCAATAATTATGATATCAGCAAAATGAAAATATACTCTGTGAGAATAATAATTAACGCGATAACACAGTATCGCTTCACGTTTGACGGTGCGATTGCATTAACAATGAAAATGATTGCTTTATCAGTGAGCCATTACAAAACGAAATTTGAACGTGACCAGCGCAAAATTAGCAATAATCTTTTTTTAATGACAATATGCATGATGTAATACGGCCGAGACAGTGTAAGCTTTTATCTTTTAACTATTTTTAGCCTTGCCAATTACATATGTTCTTATATACCTTTCTATACATGTTATATAAATATTATCAAACGCACTTTTTCATGCAAATACTATGCATGAAAAACGAGAATTGTTTTAAATAAACAATAAATTTCTACATACATTTAAAATAAATTTTGAAAAATAATAAATTATCAAACGACAATTTGTACATCCATCTATTTACCCATCCAATATATTATATATAACAATATTATACGTATACATTACGCATGTTTTAATCTTTATGCATTCAACCGGATTACAATCGGATCCTCTTTCGTTTTCATCCATTTGACAACAATTAACGAAATAAGTTAAATCGCACGTTTTGGCGAAAACGCATTGTTTAGTTCGTCTTAAGGTCTTTAGTCTTAAACTTTTGAGCACTTATGGCGTCCATGCTGATTAGTAGGAGCCTCTAGAAGCGTCCCCCTATACGTCGCCCGCGCGGAAGCCCCTCCACGATATATTCGACAGCTGGACGAAGAAAAGAAAGAAACCGGCCCGCGGTGTTCGGGACGCGGAACGCACGCGACGTTCGGGACTCGTTACGTAAGTCTAAATTCGACGGCCATTTTGCCAACGCGTTACCGGCGTGCTCGCTCGAAAAGTGTAAGGCTCTCCTCTCCTCCGCCGTGCACCGCCTACGCGGTTTTCGCGCCGGTCCTTCCTCGCCGTGCCGGTCGTCATCGTACTTGCTATTTCGAATGTCACACCGCGTTTACAAACGCCGAACCGCGTCGCGTCACGTCCACGTGCGCGAAACGCGCGGCCGGCACGCGGCGCCGCGCGTCTCACGGGCGCGACGACGAGCGCACGCGCGATGCTCCTCTCGTTGCAATTCACTCGCGCACCTTTGTCAGCAAAAATACTCTTCCCTTCTAAACAAATTCTGCGACGCCCTTCTGATTCCTTCGAATCTCGTTCCTCGTGCACGATTATTTTTTCTTAAACAGGCTTATACTTCCAAAACAATTTGAATAGCCTTCGTTTTTTATTTCATTTCCACTTTACCATTTGCTTTATATTGTTATTAATTAGAAGAAAAATTATTCCGCTTTTCTCTTAACGAAAATTTCTCATTTTTTTTTCTCACACTTTTTAATTAATTATATTATACATGCTACATCTAGAAACTATCATCTATCTGTAACATCTTGATGTTTGTAATGATTGTAAAGTAAAATTTTTACACGAGAAAATAATAGCGGTTATGAGAGATAAATAGAGAAACATAAGAAATAGAGAATCATAGCATATTAGCATAATAAAATTTTAAGATTGTTGTTTTACATAACACCTGGATAATAATCGTGCAATTTACAGATCCAGTACGTAAACACGCAACTCTAACGTAGCTACTGTAGTTCCTACGTAGGCGGAATTGAAATTAAAAAAATCTTTTACATAAATTCACATACAAATTTATATTCAAGAAAAACACAATATTATTCGAACATAAAGTTCGTAAGATTTTTCGCCAGCGCAGCAAAGAACTCCGGCGGACGAGATTCCGCGTGAGTGACGCGATCGTTAAAGGTCTAGATTACGTTCTCCGGAGAAAGATGGGCGCGAGAGTTACGCCGTCGAGCGTACATTCCTCGATTGAGAAGCCTTTACGCAATAGAAATTCTTCGGGCCGGCATTTCAAGTGCAGCGGAAAGTCTCAAAGCGTGTCGACAGCGATGGCCAGCGGTGGTGGCGGCGGAACAATAAAGAATAATTGTACACAGAGAGAACGCGCGAGCAGAGAGAGAGAGAGAGAGAGAGAGAGAGAGAAGAGAAAGAGCGTGCGCTCGTGCGCTCGCGCGCGCGCGCGCACGAAAAGAGAGAAGGATTTTGAAAGTATCCGCGTAAGCGGAGTTTTCAAGTCGCCACAATGGCGCAACCTGTTGCACGTCGGGCTTAGAAACTAAAGGTTCGAGCTTAAACGGTAACAGACGTATCCCCGCGCGGTTTTTCTCTTTTCCACCGCGCCAAGCAACCGTACGCCGTTTTGTCGCACGCTGTTTGTGCAAAGTGCGAAAAATCTAGCACACACACACCGCGTTTGTTCCAGCACGCGCGCGCTCCATTTTTTGTTGCGCGGGCGTCGCGTTTTAGAACCCGGCGCGCGAGTTAAGTGCCGCGCCGCGCTGCACCGGCTCTCGCTGCATTACGGAAAACGATGTAATCCCACCGATGCAATGCCGACTCGCGTGGCATTAACGGCGGTTACGCGTTATGTTTGTCCGGCCGTGGCGCGGTCCGTGCGGGGTGTGCTTTTTTTTTTTTTTTTTTAGTTTTACAGTGCATCTCGGCATTCCATTGCTGGAATTAAATATTGACTTGTATCGCGGCCGAATTCATGTGACGAAGCGTAACAGAATTCGCCGCCACCACCGCCGCCGCCGCCGCCGCCGCCGCCGACGTTATCGGACGCCCGCCCGCGGCAAATTGACCGTGTTAATTTTTCACGTGCATTTTCGCGGCCGCGCCGCGTATTATTCCATGAAATTTCACGGCGCGCAAATAATCCGGAAAGGGCGCCGCTCCTCCCTCGGCCCGGCCCGGCCCGGCACGGCACGGCTCGGCCCGGGGTTCTGTTGTCGCGAAACATTAATACGAAAAAGCTCCATTACGCGCACCGGTAACGACTCGATTATTATTATTTCAAAACGCGGCGATATCGATTGCACGCCACAACACTCGCGAATTAATGCGCGCAACGAGAACGCGTCGCTTGCCTAATGCCGTTACTCTATCGATGCCGGAACTTAACGACGTTCTAAATGTCTTTTTAAAAGTCTGTTATTATTTCGTATTACGGTGTTTAGCGCCTGGGTGCTGCTGCCCCGTTAACGACAGCAATTATTCTCGGGAACTTCTCTCTCGGTTGTTTTTTCCTCTTGCTGCCCGAACGAATGTAATAAAACTCTCGCTTTCGATATCGCGTCGCTTTTAATAATGACGCCGTTTATCATATCACATCTCGAGACATTAGTATTCGAGACGATTAAATGTATGCTTGTAGGTCTAGCCAACGCCGTCATAATATCATAACGTTGTAATTATTCGCATAAAATATTTCGCTGCGCGCAAGAACGCAAAAACCAGGAAAACCCAATCGTGGAAGCCTCAACTTTTCGAGCAAAAAAGATTACGTAATCTCGCTGCCCAGAGAAATTGACGTAAACAGCTTACGTTCTCGCGGTGAAGCGTCGTTAAAAATTAAGCGCGAGCAGAAAACAAAAGTTGCAAGACAGCAACCGACTTGAAAGATATAGCTCCACATTAGCTCACATTAGCGCACGCTATTTAAAAAAAGTTTAGCGTAACGTTTAGTAACGGCGACGAAACAACGCAACAGATCGGCTCCACCGTCCCTCTTTCGCGGCCAGTTCACTATATCCCCTCGTAACTTCATTTTCGATGATCTTTTTTTCACCAGCATCGCGCCCGTTTTCGCGATAACTGCGCGCCCGCATGTGCCCGCGTCATAGTAAACTTCATCGAGGTCCATTACGTCCGCGGGCTCGCGGCCATTTTTTTCCATTTCGCGGGAAACGTATAACCGTTCCGGTTTTTCGTCCCGATTACCAACGCCCAGCTTTTCCATCACTTTTTCCGAAATCGGCAAAATGTATCGCTCATAAAGTTCATTAACGCACGCTCGGGAAATTCTGTTGGCTTTTTCGCACCGCTGCACTGGCTCGCGCCCCGACGTTCAAATCAATCCGCGCGCTTTCCCAGCCTGCCAGCCATGAGATTTACTCATCTCCTCATAAACGCTAATTTGAATTAATTTAATTAATTCTTTTTGCCAAAATACCTACATTTAATATCTACAAAACAGAAAATTATTTCACGAATGTCATGAAAAGAATTGTATAGCGATAATGAAGAGACATTCTTTACGCAGCCTTTGATGCTTTGGATTCTAAATTCTTTACTCTAATACGTGTGATAAGAAAACGAATACTTTTTTCGATCTTGATTAATGTCTAACAAGTGATCCAGTACGTCGCTGTTGCACACGAAGTTCTAAATCGAGGTCACACCGAATTTTCTACTTTAACCTACTGAATACGACAAATTTCAGCTTTCTAAAGCGGAAAGCCGCGGCGCGGACGAACTTCGCGGCTGCGAAATTGCGAGTCTCTCAAAATTAGTCGCGGAGACTTCGGGGATTTCTAAATGACCTCACGTGCATCAAGATGCGAAGTGTGCAATATACGTTTGCCTCTTGGCGCGAAGCAATTCCCAATATCATCGTTTCCAAAACTATAGTCTAGCTTATCCATCAGTAAATCGAAACCTTAAATTAAAAAAGTTCCCAAACACAGAAAAAGAAAAGAAAGAGAGAGAGAGAGAAAGAAGCAGAGTGTGAAAAATGGAGAGAAACAGAGATGTTGAAGAACCAATTATGTTGCAATTTTTTAATGTATTAAGCAAAAAGATATTTTCCTAAAATGATTTATTTCAAATTCGCCTTGTATGGTAAAGTTTCAGTTGCATTCGCGCGAATCGGATTCGGTAATCTACTATTTATAGGATTACAACGCGGTCAGGGCAAGGTTTCAATTGCGTCGCAAGCCTTTTGCTCGCCCCGGAGATTTAAGGATGCTGCGCACGGACGCGTGCGGCACGACGGCATCGGCCAGCGGTAATGCACGCCGAGAATTTCGCATCGCTCATTATCATACGAGTATAGCCGCGCCAAGATGACAACGGGGATCATATGAATAATCGTCGCTTGCGCGCGGCGATAAATCAGCGATCGAAAATCATGTACACCGGGCGCCGATTTGTAATCCGCGTCTCACTCCGGCTTCGCCATTTTGCCGACACCTGATCTACGATCATTTTCAAAATAAGCGCCCAGTATAAATCCGCGCGCTGTTGGTCGACACATATAATAATCGCCGGGATCGTTTCGCTGTGTCATCATCGCGCAACACGATGTCATTTTCGATCCTTTGTACCGTCGGCGATTTTCGCACGCGACGATTATTATTCACCTTCGGGGCGTAATTGCGTCCTCTTTCGCGACTGCGATTTCGATCGCGGTGTACAAAAATATCTAGATAAAAGCGCATATAATTGATTGCAGTCGAAAGAGGGGGAGGCCCCCAACTCCCTCCACGTTTGGCGCGCGTGCGAGCCGAATGTGACTTGTAAAAATGCCTTCGGCGTGCGCGAAATTTTCGAAAACTACCGGAAGCAGAGTTTACCGATAGTTTGCATTTGAACCGATTCGCGATTGAAAACGCCTGTCGATAAAACGTGCCTGAACTTTGTAAAATGCATTTCCATCCCATGTCCGATTAAAATCATCGTGTTGAAAAACGGAAGAATAGAAATACTATATCTTTTGCATATTCCAGGATCGAGTTTATAAGAAATATTGGAATACTATTGTTAACATATATAAATCAGAATTACGTATAGACATACACACAAATTAAAAGTACTGTTCTATTACTTGAA